AGAGAGGGATTTTCTTCAGAATAATTTAAAAAATGCGTGGTGTCCAAAAATGTTGGTTACCTAAGCGGGTTAGGCACTTAAGCGGGGGGGTATTAAGCAGGTTTCACTGTAGTTATAAGCGCTCGATGTGTTTACACCCAAAAAAAGTCCACTAAACTTAAGGAGATGTGGTATTTAATTTAAAAACCACGATATTTTCCCAGTTTCGAGGAAAAAACTGCGTTTTAAGTAATTGTATTTACTTAAAATATAACGAATCTAGTACTTGAAACAAGTAAATTAATAGTTATCCTTAACCCAATATTAAAAAAAAACAATTTTGCTATTTTTAAGGATTTCGCAACGATTTTAAATAAAAACCTGCCTTTTACCTTCAAACAAGTACAAGTTTAGTAAATATTCAATACAAACTAGGAAACAATATTCAGCCTAAATTGATTTTAATGTACGAAAATCTCCACAAATAATTTAATAAAGCTAATTGCTGTCCTGACAAATGTCAGCTGTGGCTTCTAGTCTGAGATCGCAGTTACGAGTCCGCTTGGAAGAAAGTAAAGTAAGGGCCGATTTCATAATAAAATTAAAAAATGTTTTAAATTGTAAAGGATGCTTTATTTTGCTGACAGATTTCATAAAGCTACTCATAAAGGTGCTCATAAAGGCTCCTTAGTTAAATACCCAAAATGGAAATTTAAATGGCATAAGAACCCTTTTTAAGAAAATTTATGCAATTTTCGTAGTATAATTACAAATTTATTACAATTAGCTGATGCAATTTTGCCGAGATCAGCATTGCCAACTTTGTTATTTTCAGTTAAATGCACCTATTGTTATTATTCAATTAGTCAATGTATTATGAAAACACTTCTTGTTTAAAGTACATTTAAATGACACTTTACCTAAAGGAAACTTTTGCAAAAGGAACTTTCAGTGTTTCATTATGAAATTGGCCCTAAGTCAATTATTGTAATTCAAAAATAAATTACAAATTGTAAAAATAATTTCATACTACTGAAATATCATAAAAATAAATTAGATATTTTTTAAATACAATTTAAAAACTGCAATAAAAAAATAAATAAAAAAATAATAAAACAAAATTCCTGCTCTGAACAAATTAAGAAATTACATATTACTTGATTTTCAAAAAAATTTCTGTTCCCTATTTTTACTTAAACTTGTATGAAGCTTCCTAACTTCTGGGAAAACATTTTTATGAGTGTACATTAAAATTCAGTACAAATACAGTATTTATAACGTGAAACTGCTTATGTAGTCGTATAAATTTGCAATGCCGTTTTCTTTAAATCTCAGTGTAGCAAAAAAATATTGTTCTTGCAAACTACGCAGTCAACTATATCCATTTTGTTCAATGATATCAAAAAAATATTTGCATAATGCACTTCACAAAACATAATTTATGCCTTGTATAATTATACATTTGCAAACAAATACATATGTACATAGATCCATAATAACGAACATGAAATCACATACATACATACATACAACTGAGTAAATCATAGAGTACAAACGAAAATGGTGTTTTTTTTTTTTTAATCAAGACCAAACGCTTGTGGATGGCGGCGACCGTCATTATCGGATATGAAATTTGATACTTTTCACTGAGATCCCTGCATTTTAATGGCCTTCGGCCATCAAATGATTGGTACGAAATTTGAATAACAAGTATATGTATTTATATTAAATATGTACATACATATATATATGTATGTGTACATACTACATGTGTGTGTATTGAGGTACACTATTTGTAGAGTATTTAAATAAGTAGCAACTTAGAGTGTGTGGATAAGGGTAAATAATTACTTATGAATGTTTAAAAAAACGAAATCAAAATGGCTTCCGCATCGACCACCCATTAGCTCTTATAGGTAGGTTTAATAACAAAACGGCGACTAGTTTTTATTAGACGACATTCGTAAACTGTTCGCTTTGACTTCTGAATCGGGAACTCTCTTGACAAATTTAGGGATTGCGTCTAGCACCTGGCTAAATTTGTGTAACTGAGATTTTGTCCACAGTGCCAAAACAGGCATGGAAATCCCTTCTACCGATAATCACTTCTGGCGCTGAATAGATTCTGTTAACTACGGTTATCTCTCGTAGTGCCTGGATTGGCTCGACAATTTTCTGTACCAAGGCCCTGCAGGGGTTAGACTGGCTGTAACATACAAGAACTCATCAGAGATTTTCATTTCGGCAGCTGAAGAAATTCTCTCGATAAACGCTATCTCTCTTAAGGCCGTTTTCTCAAGTAACCTGGAACTTTAAATCTCCTTTTACAAGAGGGCTTGACGGCTTTATAAGAGGGCTAGAACAACAGATTTTGATTTTGCGATGCCAGGATCTTTGTTCAAGTAAAGCATTGAGTCTTATTACTTAGCAAATCGACCATATTTTTAATGTAGCTGTTAAATTATTATTAAGTAACTCTCTTAATCTAGTCAGGTTTGTTACCATTGACTTAATAAAATTAAATTAAATAAAATATTTAAAGGCATACATACATACATACGTCATAAACCGATAATAGAAAAGCTTAACTTTAGACATAGCTTTACTTTTAATCCAACCTTTAAACATAAAGTGAGCTTTAAACTTAAAGGTTACTACAGAAAATGGCGAACTGGCTCTAACACTCAAAACCTTGCCTTGGGCAACTGATCATGCTGCTGGCTAGATATTCCTCACAATGATTTCCTTGTAACGACCCGGACAAGCTCAGGAAAGTGACTGCGATTTAATGGTAAACTATAAGGGCGCTAGGTACTGTTTTCAAGCCTAAAGCTCGGAACACTTTGACGACTGCAACTTCACGACGTAACGACAGCGACATCATTTTGTCGACAAATGTCGCCTTGAAGCCAGCTTCTTAAACATTTTGAAGACCTCAGCGACATAGCAAACAGCTGATTTTAAAGTTTGACATTTTGGTATATTTTTTTCACAAATTGTGTATTTTTATTTAAGTAAATAAGAAAAACATGAACAATCAAGAATATGTGATTAATTTTGCGACAATTTAATTTTGCAGCACTACATCTACTCATTGTCGCCGGCAAAATTAGAAATAGATTTAATTTGGCGACGTCGACAATTGCAGTCCTGCAGCCAAGATGTCGTGCTGTCGTCAAAATAATTGTGTCCGTAAGAACGTGTGTATTTAAAATTTGACAGATGCTGCTTGTCGCTTGCTGTCGTCAAAGTGTTCCGAGCTTAAGTCATCTGTATCAGAAATTCTACTGGGTCTAGCATATGGGAATACATTTTGGAACTTCAGTCCCCGCTCTTGAGAGATTCTCTCAACAACGGTTATCTCTCATACACCCAGAAAAAAGGCAGCTAAAAATATCTCTATCAAAACATGATTTGGTAACCATAAACAAATAATGTAACTTTGACCAAATCATGTGTTGAGATAAATATATTAAGCTGACTTTTTTCTGGGTGTAGTGTCTTGCACGGCGTTAGCAAGCCAAATTTCAGGATAGACTTTGTTTAGAAATTTAGGAAAAACCATATACATATACATAGAATTTCTTCAAAGGGACTGAATGGGAATTCTGATTCAAAATTCGACAGTTAATACGACGGAAGCTGTCCAGAATAACTTGACATTGGCTGCTTAGAGCGAGCGTTGTCGTTGTGTCTAGGGCCTCGATAGTTTTTCTTGTTGGGCGATAGATGAATGAAAGCAAATCTGACCAGCGTCTCTCCAAGAACGAGATTTGTTTCCGGCCAGATTACTATAAAAAGTGCGATTTTCGGTGCACATACAACAACAAAAAAATAATACACTAAGACAGGAGTTTAGTTACGTCAACTAAATATGTTACTCTCAACAAATGGTTTGATACCTAATTATAATAATAATAAAAGATTGGCGCTTACCCATATGTTAGTGTTTGACCGAGCTTCTTTCTCATCGGATTTGTGGCGTGCGCCTTGGCCGACTCCGAACGGCGATCGTATTTTTAGGAGAAGCTGTTTTTCATGGCTGAATACACTAAGAAGTTTACCATTGCCTGTCGAGGGGCGACCGCTATTAGAACAAAAAACTTTATGGTTACATATTCATCAGCAAAAAAAACTCCTAAAAATTTCTGAAATTCACCACCTGGTTCCTTTACTTTGCCTCTTGTTCGCTATTCTGGGCAACTAACGTCAAGTCCCCGTTCTTACCTCGTATGTAAACATATTCTTCAAGTACTTGATAATAAAGTGATTATCACATTTGAAGGCAATTATGTATCACAAGCATCTTGCGAATTCTTATAATTGGATTGTGATGCTACTACAGATGTGTGTTGGCCAAACAAAGAAAATCAATTTGGCCGAAAAATAATAACAAAAATACAAACAAAAAACATCACGCAAAAAATGTATCCTCTTCAAAAAGTAATAAATGGAAAGAAAAACAATCGAAATCGGCTCGTAAAAAGTAGATAATGGCGAACCAGCCCAGCGATCATGCTGTGAAACAAGCGCGCAGACACTTACTTATGTACTTATGTAACACATTATAACATTATCTACATATGTATATTTGTTTGAAACATATAAATGTATGTTTTGTGCATTAATGTGTGTCTTGTTTATCGTTCCGATCAAAATGGTTGTCATTGTAAATATGTATACATATATGTAGTATGCACAAACCTAATACCGCCAAAGCCAGCGAGCCAACAGCAGCTGCTCTGCATCTACATATAAAAAAAAAAACTAATAATAATGCAACACGTTCGATGCATGCAACAACAAAACAAACAGCGTCATTCATGCGATTCAGCTACATGAAAACACATATATGTATGTACGTACTAGGGCATTCAATCCGAA